CGAGTCCTTCCTCTACTTCAACGGGGGTCAGTCTCACCTCAATCGCACTTTTGCATCGTCGGTTACTTCTCCGGACCGGGAAGTAATCCTTCAGCGTCATGGAGGGTGAGTGGACTTGCTTGTTCTGCCTGTTAGTAAACAAAAAAGATGGCCGAACCTCTAGAACATTAACTCACTTGATAATTGATACAGTGCAATTTCTGTGAAATACTTTAATAAGAGAAAGTTTCATAAACCCAACCTGCAAATTAAGCCAACAACCGCCACATTTGCCTCAGATGTTGACAAATCCTTTTCAAATTATCTCTTCCTCATATGAATATTTCTATCACTAGCATGTAAATCAAGAGCACGGTCGCCTTATGGATGAGTGCGGATGTACAGATTAGCCTGTTAGAAGTACATGTATGGGTTCAAATGTACAGTAAAATTGTACATTTCATAGTGTGTGGTAAATAGTTAACCACAAATTGAAATGTACATTAATATAATAGGCAAGATAAAATGAGTGCAATGAATGGAATCCTACTTTGTCTTTCTTGATCTTCCTCTGCCTCTTCGGCTGGGTTTGCCGTCCTCCATCTTGGAAACTCCTTCTTTTCTCTCGACCCCTCCCACCTTGTCCTCAGTGGAGCCATCGTCTCTGGCACCTTCCTCTCTGTGGGCTGCCGTGCCGTAGTCCAACTTCTGGGCTGCTCTGGGGCGGCCTGCAGGTTCCCCTCGGGCATCCTGGGTCTCTGAGGTACTCTGGCGAGGGGGCAGGGGACCAGTGTGGTGCCTTGGGTTGGGAGGTGGCTGGGTGTACTCTTTGGTCGGCGTCGTGTCTGGCGTGAGTAGGCTGGGTGGTGGGAGATGGGTAACAGCAGCTGAAAGATGTCCGCAGAGAAAATTTACTCTTAGAGCTTACCTAAGCATCTTCGTATGAGACAAGAAAGAGCCAAATGTATGAATAACCACAGGAGCTGTACCCAGAGTAAACCCATAATTTGCTGCATGTACGTCCAGGCTCCTGGTTCTGATAATTAATAATAGCAGTCAAGCCAGTCCCTAATCTTCAACACTTTCTTTACTGATTGATGTTTGAGGCTAAGCCTACCCAGTAATTTGTCCTGTTCTGCTACTTCTGACAGTGACTCTGCCGGTGGGTGAATTGGCTTCTGGCGGCCCTCGGGGCTCTTGGGGAAGTAGCTGGTAATTTTACTGGATTTGTCATCTTTTGCAGGTAATTGAGGGGATTTCTGTTTGAAAAAAAATTAGCATAAACAGTAATCCACATTCTGCCAAATAGAGGTTTTCTTTTTCTCTGGTACATGTACAAATTCCTGCCAAGTTCTATAATATTCATTGGGTGAAATATTTGAATTGTATTGTGAATTTGTGATTCAGACCAGAGAAAATTAAACATGGAAATTCTGATGATCCAGAAACTCAACAATGAAATCTTGTTCTCACTGTTAAATTCTGTACAATTATGCATACAGTACATACATATAAATAAGGAAAAATTTACACTTCTTCAGGTTTTTGACATTGAACATGTACAGTATGTATATGTACATGTATACTACATTGGTATAACGTAGGAGAAAATATATTACAGTTTGGTGGAACATTTACATGTACATGTAGGTTCCCCTAAAACGTCCTCTTACATGTAGATCAGATTCCAAGATTTGCATAAATTTCCTGAAACTGAAAGGTGTCTGAAGCTTGAATGGTGTACACAAAGCAACCAATGAAATCTTGCCTATGACAACCATTTTCCTTATTCAATAATGTACATGTACATGTAGCCCACAGGTCATCAACTCCAATAATAAGAAACATACACCATTCAAACTGATGCTATTATTATGCTATTAAAAAGTTTCAGAACCTTGACATCACTTTAATATTCTATGCTATCGCAAGAATTTCTCCTCCATGTAACTGATCACCACAAGCACATCAAGAGCTTGATGAACTTGGACTTTCTTACATGAGATATCAATTTTCACTCTCACTCTAATATTCAGTGTTTCCCCACTTACTGTTTCTTCTTTAAGTTCTGCGAAGGCTGGCTTCTCTTCACTGATCCTGGGTGACTTGTCAGGTACTGGAGCGATTTTCCCCTCAGAACTTGTTGCCTCTTTCTTCTGTTTTCGATTTCCTTTGGGTGTAAACAAAATGGAGAGAAATCACTAGGATGCCAGGTACCCCCCAAATATTTGTGAAATATTACAAAGACAAGTACACTGTACCAGTGTGGTGCCCAATACGGCTTGAGCAGTTCAAGGATGGGTGAAAAGTATTTCATTTAACAAAGAGTTCATTTTGCCATGATCCAGTCATGCTTTTTTATATTAGCCAGCAACGAACAAATACATTTAATTACTACGTTTCCTCTTATGGAGCCAGTGGAGAGACAGCTACATGTATGAGAGCACGTCCAATCCCAAGACTGTCTGAGACTGTGGGTTGCTAATCTTTTTCCCACTCCCAAGAAAGTTATGATACATGTATTAGGCCTATCCTTTACTGTTAAAAATCAATCGTTAGTTACATGTACGTGTACATGACAGGGTATTCCACTCCACTTTTTTGTGATTCATGATTCTGGTTCTGGCAGATTTTTTTAAGGGTAAACAAAATGTCAGACATTGCAGCAGGCATGAATTCTATTACGTCATTATGAATTTATGATGGCAACGTACAGTGTACAAGTACATGTACACGTAAATGTAAGCAGGAAACCAGACAAAGATTTTTCAGTCACAGTAAAGTTTCTATGAAGTCCCCCCAAAACACACAGTACACGTAGTCCTCCAGATTTGGAAATCACAGGCACATGGAAAAAAGTAATCTGGAGTTTCTCGGCTTGTGATTTTGACGAGTGCCTAATTTGTGTTCAAGGCTGGGATTGAGACCAAGGCTAAGCGACCCCCCTAAAGCTTAAGCCAGAAGTCTGTTTGAAGCTGTCAAAGACTGCCTGATTACTATCATTATTAATATTCAAAATTAGAGAAACAAAAGTTCAACTTTGGCTTGGATAAAGTGAAGTACAATTATAAAAATCAAGCATTTTAAATCAACAACTCTAGCAAAAATAGGGTAAAATCATCATCGTCATAGCAAAACATAAGTCTGCTGTTCATTTGGTTTGGTCCAACAAGGAAGATTTAAGAAGAGAGGTTTATAACTAGTCAACAGAAGACCACAACCCTTGGTCGGAGAGAGAGAAAATTTCAAATAACATCATTTAGTTACGTGTAGCTTTGTAACAGAAATTCCTTACATCAGGAGTGCCAAATGAAAGATGCAAAATTGTACACATGGTACATGTACATGTACTGTTATAAATTGCCAGGGACCCTGCATATACTCAGTACACCGTATACTCTACGGCACAAACATTTCTAATCACCATTCATTATACACATTTGTACATTAGCCTGCAGCCACCATGATCAATATCAGTATCGGCGTGGGTGGAAGGGCCCCTATTTTAAATAGGGTACTCCTCCATAGCAGTAGTGGAGTATAAATGCACAAAGGGGCCCCAGTCACTTGCTTGTTTACGGATCTAGTCTGCTCTCCCTCCCCTGTCCCCCCCCAAAATCCAACGAAATTCGCCGAATGTCGGACAACTCGACCGTTGAGACCACTCAACCATTGAGACAATTCGACCATTGAGACAACTCAACCGCTTGCCAAGTCATTCATTAGGACAACTCAACTAGTGAGGTCTCTACACATAATACAGTCATTCTCCCAGTTCCAGATCGCAAAAATTATTCAGTCAGATTGCAACTACCAAAAATCCCCAAATTCCGGTGAAATGTGGTCAGTAGTCTCCTTGTGTATTAGAGATACTACAAAATTAATTTCGAATTTCAAACTTTAATTTGGACGAATAGGATCAACGATTTCAAATGGCGAAACAGTTTTCTTTGTTCTGGATCGGTTTCCGGAAAGTAACCATGCGAGCAGCAAATCCATTTTCAGCCAAAACCATTGTAAAAAGCTGATTTTCTCATGAAAAAATTCTGAAATTAGAGAAAATTAGTTTATAAATAAGAATTCCAATGAATTTTAAAAAGTGGATCTTGCGTAAATTTTGACTCAATTTTTTCAGCTGCATAGTGTGAGCCATCAACGATACAACCTTGCGCCGGACAGCTGACGAACCCATTACGTCACATACATTGTACATGTATGTTTCTGCAAAGTTGAATTTGCAACGTATATTGCGTGCATGCACTTAATTTGCGATCCAAAACTAGAAAACAATATGCATTCAGTTTTCGGCCAGTTTTAATAAAGCGGAAACTTTAAAAGTCATGTTAATTAAACCATACAGGCAAAAGTTTATATGACTGTTTAGTATGGAAAAAGGTATTTGGGATCACTTGTAGTGAGTGGCATACACATGTACCACCCTGTAACTATTTGTCGATTTTTTTTCCGCTACTATTTTTGACAAACCATTCAAAAACATCACAGTGCGAATCAGAATCTAGAAAGTTTCAGAGAACAAGTTTTGTTCTTGAAACAAGAAGTTTACAAGTTACATTTCACCTTTTAAACAGAACCTAGACCTACAGAATGTAAAGCTGAAGAACAGAACAAAGGGGGTAGGTTTTTATTTCAAGCGACCCGGAACTAGGAAAAATTTGAACTTGGACTTTAAACGTGGTCAGGTCAGCGCGGGTGCAAGTTTGATTGATTGCACAAAGATTAACCATTTTTATAATATTAATACCTCAGACATGTCAGAAATTGAGCTTGTCCAAAGACTGTATAGCACTGTGCAGCAGCACACTGCGTGGCGCTACACAATCTTTGGCTTGTCTATCATGTCTATACATAAAATTCTCTTCCATTATTCAGTTATAAGGCACTGCTGCCCAAGTTTTGGAAGAGCCCATTGGTACATGTAGTATCCTATCGCTCAGTCCGTGTATTAGATACATGTACATGTATGTCTCGACGTGGAACAGCCATCGATCAAGACGATGAGGGGTCAAGTGACGTAATGTTCAACGACCTTATTTTAAAGATGGCGACTGTGAGAGTGAGCCCATGAGATTGAATGGGTGAAGGCAAAAAGACTGGAATATACCAGAATAACGTGAGCGAAATCATTCAATAAATGGCGCTAAGATTACAAATCAGAGGCTAAGGATCATCTCTGTGTGCAAAAGAAATTGCGCCCACGATGATAAGTGGGTGCGCCGAAAATGTTCAGTACGCCGACCCGAAATTGCGTATACATACATGTACAGATGTGTTGCTATACTAAGGTCAAGGATTGATCGGGAGTGAGAGTCCGTGCCACACGACTAGTGCCAGCACTCAGGGGTTAGGTGTGAGGGTCAAATCAATGCACTTACTTTTCCCCATTTTACTGCTATATCTTCACCACCACGGCTCAAGTTTCTTTATAAAAGCTTTGGGGAGGAGAATGGTCTCGTATCCCTCAACTGACACTGTCAGTGACAGACTTCATGAACTTTACACGGTCTTAACGGTGCAGCAAGGTCGGGTCACGTCGGTGGCCTGTTGGTTTTTAAATTTTGGTCGTGACAATACGGGCTCGTTCAATTATCTAAAAAATTATTTGTTTGAATTAGAGATAAAGTAATAATATGAACAAGTTCTAATTTGACAAAAAATACAAGTTACATAAAAATGAAACTTTTGTTTCGGTTTATTCTAAAATTTTAATATTTCCTTCATAATATGAATTATTTTTAATTATAATTGGTCGACTGTTCAAACGACAACAACAAATGAAGGGCGCCACCACAAGTCGCCGTTAAAAGAAAGGTTCGGTGAACTAATTCACGTAAAAAGAGTGTAAGAATGATCAACAAAATCCAGCCTGGCTCAATGACATGCAAGTCGACATTACTGGAGTTTTTCAAACACAAGCTAAATTAATTTCTTTTCAATTTTTGTTTTGTTAGCCAAAATGTCTCATTATTTACGCAAAACAAACTTAGCCAAGGCTGCTCGCAGCAATGGTTTAAATGATGGCTTCCCTAGTCCCTAGTAGGCTTGGGCACTGAGGGCCGTTTTCCATCCTTAATAATTTTGACTAATTAAATCTGACCTCAAAAGCAAGCCCCCAACCCAGGGAGTTGATATTGGCCTGTGTTTCCACAGTCCCTCCATTTGGGGGGGGGGGCGAAACAATCTGCTTTTTCGGGAGAAATTGAAGGGGGGACTTTTATAATGCGAATGAACATAAACTCGGGCAAAGCACGGGACCATTCCGTAACCTGAAGCCCCCCCCCCAAAAAATACAAATTATGCAGGACTAAAATGTGCCATCAGAGTAAATGACACTGAGTCATGACATCTCACATTATTACAAGCAAGAAATCGCCACTTTGAGGTAAAGAATTGCCGTGAAGGTAAAACATCTCAGTTCAGGGTATCGTCATCTCCTGGTGAGCAGCAAAAAGACGACATCCTGCTTGCAGGATGCCATTATCCCGTGATTAATTATATCATGGAAGATTTGTTCCTTCCTCCATGATTATATAACGAAGGCTGCCATCGTGTGATAAACTATCTCGGGATGTCGACTTCATATTCTTTAGCGATCCTGTAATAACTTTTTGTAAAAGGATGTTCTTATGCTGAGATGTCAACATCTTGCAATTGCCGATATGAATGTCTCGTCATCCCGACCGAAAAATTGTCAGGATCTCAACAAGTCGAATGGCAGTTCCAGGGCTCCGTCAAACAATGCTGCTCCCCAAAGATAAAAACCGCTCTCAAAACTTAAACAAAGGATGGCAGTGAAAGGCGTCCGTACCTTTAAATCGGAATGTAAACGCACGATTTTTGTAAACACTTGACTCGTGATCTAATCTGTTGACAAAATTTTCTAAATTAGCAGAGAATTACTTACCGTCACCAAAGAGGGGAAAGGTCGTCTGGGATCAAAAGTACGGCCTGCTTAAGTTTAGCAGGTGGTGATATTTACATGCCAAGTTGTCTCGCGTCTCCTACTGCGTTCGACCGAAAGGGACGATTCGTTAACATGGATAATACAAGCATTTCGTGGCGTATCCAGGATTTGGTTCTAGGGGGCAAAAATGGATTGTTC